TTAGACGCGCCAAAGGAAACCATTCTTTCAATTTTTCCGCATTTTCAATCACGCGGAGATGGTGTCAGGAGCAAGAGTAGTCGCTAGCATGCGCATGATCAAAGGGTCAAATCTCAGCCCAGATTCAGCTAGACAGTTTAGACCTCTAAAGTTGATTAGTTGCTACTAGTAGCGATTGCTGATGTCCAAAATATTCAACGACTTCAAAAGAAGTAGGGTGAGAGTTGCAACCCTACGAAAACCTGAGTCTACAGAATGCACTTGGAAAGGTTTGAGATGGCTCAACGGCACATTCCACGCACTACGATAGGTTTCTCTCCCACCGATTCAATATTTTGCACCAACGCTAGAAGAGGTTATTTTTGATAAATTGTTCATTATTAAGCGATTGGTTGTTGTCCACACACAAGACTGGACTGGAGAGTTGTTGGTCACACGCTAGATCTATTTTTTGTCGACACTTCTTTGAAGAATGTCACTGCAAAAGTATTGCCATATTAGAGCGGCAGCTCGAAGCTGAGACAAGGCAGATGATTATGAAGCAACTTAGGCAATGCTTATTCCACGTACCTGATCTGGTCATATTCACTGCTCCCAGGATATAGGGGCCATCCAAGAAAAAGTTCCGCTATAACACATCCCAGTGACCACATATCTATAGCTTCCCGGAAAGGAAGACCAAGGATGATCTCTGGTGCTCTAAACGCAAATAATTAGGTGGCGACATTTTCTAAATTTGTTAGCACAGTTTCGGCCTGTGAATAACGTCAAAAAGGCACCGAAGCTTATGCACATGAAGGTTGAGAGAAAAACGGTGTTAGTTTTGAAGCAAAATGAAATAGATCCGATATCATTATAGAATTGAGAATGAAATTTATACTGGCTTTACACCATCTATATTACTCACCTGTAATACCTACTCTGAAGATAAGTGTTAGTGACAGCCTTACTCCGGTGACTAGCTGATCCAAAGTCGATCACCTGGAAAAGCAGAAATAAATAATTACGTGTGTTATCATGAGAAACAAAGGTACTGTAAAGACAGAAGGTGCCCCTTACCACGCGCATCAAATCTCTGATCAACGCCTACCAAGCCCACTACCCCTCTAGGGCCTATACTTTGAGCTAGACCCGTCCGAAAGGACCATACCGACCTGCACATCAGCTAGCCCTGCAAGCCCAAAAGGCAAAGACGCCAGACAAATTCCTTGGAATAACCACACAACTCCTAATTGTAGTCGAGCGCGGTGCGCAAAGGAAATGATTAGAGCCATTTATCCATTTCTGTCGACCCGCTCATTTGTTTTCCGAAGCAATTTGTAAGAGGTGGGTGGGACAAGACCTGGACGGGCCGCTGGGCCGCGTGGTATTTGTAGGGGGTAGATGGGGTCAGGTGGATGTCAGACTCGGCGACTGTGCAATCGTAGCGTTGTGGCCGTCGCTGCACAATTGCCGAGTGGTGCATGTCGTTATTGATTCGTATGATTTGCGTTGGGCGCGCTGTTGTTGTCGCTGTCGTGGTAGCACAATCGCCAAGTCTGACATCCACCTCAAGGTAGAATCGACCAACGCCGACTGAAAGTTACTGTCGCAGAGAAAAAAAAAAATGGATGATGGACTCGCCTTGGTAAGTAAAGCATTCGATTGGATTTCTTTGAAAAGAATCGTTTGATGTAGAACGGGAGATTTTACTGATGTTGCCGATAAGATTTAGGGAATAAATGGACCTCATCCAATTAGTGCAGCCGCGACAAAGTGAGCTTATAACCGTCGATCATTGCTAGGAAGACTGCGAATAAGCTAGAGAGAGAAAAGATCGGAATCATTTTTCGGGGAGGCAACATGCTGAGGCATTGGGCGGTCTGGGCCGGCATAGATTCGAGATATATATCACGTTTGTGGCTCCACTTAACATATACAACCTTTCGACTCATTTCTTACAAGAAATTCGTTAAATTCAAAAGCTATCCAGAATTAAGTCACCTTTACTCGGAAAGGCTGGTTAGTGGGATCGACCAGCATAATATTTTCAGGCTTGAGATCAGCATGAATCAAGCCAAGCGACTTCAGCTTGAGCAAGGCTGTAAGAACCTGAAAAGAAAAACATACTTCAATGTAGTGAAGGACGGCCGTCAAGTAATGGCAAGATACCTGCTGTACAATTGGACGAATACTATTAAGGGGGAGAGGAGTGAATTTGTTCTGCTTGAGAAAGTCATAGAGGTTCTGCTCGAGCATTTCGAAAACAAGACAGGTATGATGTTTGTGCTGGAAGCATTCGAAGGCTCGCACAAAATTGAACTCCTCTGCGTTTTCGTTGCTCAGACGCGAGAGTATCGAAACCTGAACAGACAGAAACTTGATGAAGGGGGTAAGTCGAAGACAATGCACTGTGTCTCCTAATGATGCAACCACCTGAAAAATATTTTTCGTACCTAATATGTGTCTAACAGTCTAAAAAAAAGGTGTCAAATGGAAATGCAAATTCAAAAAAAACTACACCAAATTCTAGTCTGAAAACACCGGAAAAATTTCCTTTTGATATTTTAGAAAAGTTGGCTTTTCTTGCCTCAATAGGATATAGCCACGCATTATCTCTGGGTTGATTTATTCCTGCTTGCTCAAAAACTCTTGTGATAGTAATAACTCTTCTGTTTAGCTTATCGCAAAAAAACCACTAGTCGGATGTTTTCGAAAAAGAGGGCAGAACTTTTCGAAATTTCGACAGCAATTTCTTTCACATGCTCTATGATAAGAGATTATGTAGCGTCGAGTTCATGCAGCAAGATGAAATGCATGTGAAAATGAAAATGACATTGGAAGAATGTGGTGGTATGTATTCCTTCGAGCTGGTGACAGCGCACTTCTCAATGGCTCGGAACAAATCTTTTCGTACGTGCTGGAATTTAGCATTCGTTTGGACTCGCGTTTGTATTTGACACATTTTCTGTTTGAATTCTTCTCGGAAATATCTCAATCCGAGTTTTTTTAGCTCTTGGGGAGCTGTATCATCATCATGAGACGCTTTGTAGCTAGGGGTGATGCTAGATGATGATGTAAAAGACTGAGTTCGTCGCTTACTAACTTAAAGCAACAATCCAGGAACGAATTCGCGGGTAAGGACCACCTATAATGACGTTGCAGGTGAGAAGTTGGTCAATGGAGAAAGAAAAAGTAGAAAAAAACGTCGGGCAGGGGCTTAGACAGGGACTCCCCTGCCGTTTAGGGAGATGTGTGTTGGACGAGTTGTCCGAACCTGCCCGTAGTACATGCGCTCCAGTTGACTGCTGGCAAATAGCCATGCATGCTTGCAAATACATAACTATTTGCCAGCAATCGAAATTGAAGCGCTTCAATTGCGTTCTTATGGAATCGACCTCATACAGCGCGGCGGTCCCGCAACGACCGCTAGTCGAGCAAGCGCTCTGCACAGCGAATGTTGGGCGATCCGCCTCTTTATGGGTGATCCGCCCCCTCCAAGAGGACTTCGACCCCTTCCAGCGCATTTTAGAGGTAGGTTTTGAAATTAAAGACATTTCCTATAAACTTTAGTTGGGCTGGGGCATGTTTTGACCGCCTAATGACCAAGTAGTTGAAACCCTGCCTGGACTGTTGCTTTTAGAAGCACCGTGTGCAATGCGACAGTAAGAAATGAGATGCACGCGTCCCGTCACAAGTGTACAAAATGCAACTGATAGGGGCTTTACGCGATGATAAAACGTGTCATTATTGGTCAGCGCACCCTGAGGATGGCGTGTCAGTGTAATGGAACCAAGTCTCTTGCTCATGGGGAGCACCAGCAAAGTTACATCGCACAGGGTGACGCAAAAGATGTTTTACTGTACTTACGTTGGAGCAACAATTGAACTATTGATTCTTCAAAATCCTTCTAAACAGTTCCCCACGGACGTTTGCCTCAAGTCAGTCGTGAAAAACAAATCATGACAACCGTGATGCATGGCCAATTCAAATCAATTGGACAATTGTTATTTGCACAGGCCTTGGGAAACACTACGAAGCCTAGCAGAGGTTCAATCGAGAAAATTATCCTGCCGCTCGGGCCGGAACTATAACTGCACCTCCTTTAAGAGTGTTAGCTATGACAGATGACTTCACACTCTCATGACAGTGGGAGCGGTCAATAAAATCTTATTTCTTCTCATAGGATTTTAGATTTTCTTCAGCGAAATATTAAGGGACAGCTGACTTTTTTATTCCTCTTTCACCCATTTTATCCTGGTCTCTGGAACGTTCTAGAACCGAAATGGACAACTTTGACGCCGGCACCGCCCATTGGGATGCATGCCCCACCCACCGCGGGAAGAATCTCTCATGGCCATGCCTGTGCGTGCAGCCTGGCATCTTTCGTGCAGAGCTTTCGCGGAAAAATCTGGCTGATGGTAATCGTCTCTTTCTTTTGATAAACCGATGGGACTCCACTAAATGCAAAAAACACGTTTTATCGCAGAAACATTGAGACGATATCCAACCCTCTGATTCTCGCTGTTCCGGAGTAATGCAGGTTGCGGACGTTGTCTTAAACATTGACAGAATTTGGAACACTGCATTCCTCTCTGCACTTAAACATTCCAACTGTGCACAATTCAACCCAGTTCTCTGAGGCTTAATACAAGTCCCACAGAATGAAAGAGACAGGCGCGCAGAACTGGTCCTACTTTGACTTCTTCACTTTTCTCCAAGGCCCGTTATACACGTGCCGCGCATCCCTTGCTAGGCTAAGCTTTTTGTCTTTGGGGGGGAGACAAGGGGGGGGGGCGCGCGCTCGCCTCCTGCTCAGCTCTGGAGCTAGGTTGTTCATCGTGTTAATTTTCCGAAGTAAGTACATGTGACTGGAGCATTCCGCGCGTTTCTTACGATGAGCGCGAATTAGCATCACGGACTAATCCGCTTCCTCATAAAGCATCGTCTTCGTTAGGTTCAGCTGCAGACCAACCTTACCACAGGCGCAGTCGAAATCAGCCAGCATTCGCTCCGCTTGCTCGATGTTCGGCGTTATAAGAACGATGTCGTCAGCAAAACGAAGGTGGTGTAGTTGCCGGCCGTCGACCTTCACTCCCATGTCTTCCCATTCCAGTTGGCGCATGACGTTTTAGAGAGTGAGGGCGAAAAGTTCGGAAAAGAAAGAGTTGCCCGGTCGAACCTCTCTCTTAACATACGAGAATGCTCCCATCGAAAAAGACAGTGTACGGTTCTTTGAAGCGTGTTGTAGTTCAGAACTCTTGTTAGATGGCTCAGAAGAGCGGACACAACTGTCGGAGAGAGAAAAGTAGAAGTCGCAAATATCTTTTTTCCTCAAGATAGAGTGAGTATCTTGTCTTAAACTTCTAAGCACGCCATCCTAGTCTTCACAAGGTAAAGCTTTGGCGGGTTTTAAGGGTGGAGGCTCCTGCTATTTTATATGGTACTGCCCTCCTCCTTTATCGCCTGCCGAAACCTTCGCAAGTCGGAATAGAGTTTGAAGTTATTATCTTTAATTAGTTTACAAATAGTTTGTAGCAGCTTCACATCAGCTCATCAGTTTAAAAGTCCCACACAATGACCACGAGTGCGCCGGCCTGGTAGAAGTGCTGATACCTGCTACATCACATCGGAGAGCTGCGTTCACTATCGCTCGCCCTCTACGTGATTTTCTTTTGTGCGCGAAGGGGAACAAACAAAAGCATTTTTCAAATTGCTTATAAAAATGCTTGTAGCCGATACTGCTTCCGGGAAAGAAGTGGAATTTCAGAGCATGCCGAATTCAACAAAGTAGGTAGCAAGTCATGAACCCTTCATGTTAATGTAGGGTGTCATAATTTGCGACTTGATAGTAAACGCGACGCGAACAGAGAAGAAACATAAAAAAAACGAATTTTTTCGAAGAAATTGTACTTACTCATTAACATTAACACATGAACTTCCCCTAGTAGCCTCTACTTTCCTGAGAGCAAGAAATTCCAAGTATCATCTTAAGCCTGCACACTACAATCGATCGGATTACCTCTAGGACTCTGACACCTGGCTAACTCTGAACCTCAATTTTCGGGGGTTGCCTTGGCACTTTCGGGACACGCTGTGATATTTTATGGAAATGTAAAGAGTCATGGCGCCTACTTCTGGAGACTTCTCTCTCACACAGGCAAACAGTCGTGAGCGACAATTTGAAGACTCACTTTTTTGAATGCTTCCCAAATTTTGTCTTGTCTTTCCGTGACTGCATTCATGCACGTGAGCTCATCCCACTCGAACCATTTAAACTTATCGTTTTGAAAATTTCTTCACAGCAACTATTCCTAAAATAACCTCGATCTGTCCCTGCCTTGCGTAACTGGGATGTTTTTTAAGAATCTTGATTGCCACAATCTCGCTGGTTCCTTTTTTCCACGCTTTCACAACCTGAAAATGCACAGTTCGTATTTTATCGAAAATTAATGACCTATAGTCCTCTGAGGCGTTTTCATGAACTTTGAATAATTTAATACAGATGACTTGTACCGTGCCGCAAAGTGCCTTTGCCTAGAAATTCCAACACTTCATACTGGTTGCCGTAGGGTGAGACTAGCACTTCATTTTTAATTAGCTGAAAAAAATTGTTGTAAGGAAATCGGAGGTACCATCATAAGACAACTCAGACCCTTAGAAAGTCTGGCCCAGAATTACAGCGTCCATCACTACATCCCTCTAGTCAGCAATAGCAAAAAAGCAGGAAAACACTTAAAATAACTGGTAAAGCATTATTGAGGCATACCTGATACTCCCCTTCACCAGCCGGCTTCGTTTTTGTCGTTTTTTGTTGCACAGGAATGAATTTATTGGTCAGCTTGGCTGCCAAAGCTGACGGTTTCGCACCAGCAATGGACATACTCGTCGGCTGAAGAGTTATACGTATATCGGTTTGAAGGATTCGGATATGGGAAAAAAAAAACTTTTTGCACTACAATGCTATGGCCTTAAATTCTATGATGAACTCCACTCACGTCTTGCACTAGTTCATCCTGCTTTCTTTTTAGAGTTCGTGGTTCGTCTGATTGTGCATTTGACGACTCTCGACCCTACCAACTGTCTGCGTGCTGCTGCAAATGGTACTTGTGATTAGCGTTGTGAATACAATAACCATAATCCATCTCCCTCAATTTTGACATTCGAAGGAATCCAATACCACTCTCATATAACGCTTCTTGAAGCAGATGATCTTCCTCTGCTGAGAAGTGGCCCTATTCTCTTTTATGTGTTTTGTCTTTGTTTCATCTCTCTAAATCAGTTCAAAAGTTATGAAAAAAATTTCGGCACTATTCCACTATTACTGTCCCAAAAACTTGAAAAGTTTTACGTTCGTTCGAATTTTTGGCAAGACCGTATTCGCCACTGTTCGCCTTCTGCCGCTCTACCACAAAGACTTAGCCCTGATCGCAATCAAACCAGCGAGCGGGGCGCGGACGAGCAGAAAATAAGCGCCAAATGGCGCCAACGCGAAAATAAATGTCATATTCGTCTTCAGGATACCAAATAGCTCCGGGTGTGGTTCACTAGTACAGAAAGCGGCTTTCACGTTGAAACTTATTATCGCGGCAGACGCCAGCCCACCAATGATCAGCGGTGGACCTGAGGTTCCCGCAAGCAAAAAATCGCTGTTCTCTCGGAGTGAGTATTGCTTGAGGATTCCTCAACGGCACGTCGAGGATTTTCGCCTGATCCTTTACGTTCTCGCGCGCGGATATTCACTCTCGCCACCCGCGAGCCGTCTGTGCTCTCCGCGCGTACATTCACTCTCGGCACTACTCTCGCACAGCAGAGAGCGATGGTCGAGGAATTCCTCGACCGTTATTCACCCTGCTTTCTGTCCTAGTGAACAACACCCAATAACCCATTTATACAAGTTTACACCAAGTTTGATGAAAACAGCCGTCGTGACAAGGTGGCGAAATCTAATTTTCTTCTACCAAAATTTCTTCTGCCCCAATATTTGCTTATGTTGTGATCACCTCCTTTTTTCTTCACTTTGCACCAGGTTGTTTGTATTACCGAGTTTTGCATTGCTGTCTCTTTCCAATTATTTTGAAACGAGTTTGACGATGAACTTTTTACTTTTGCACAACCTTGAGAAATGAATTTCATGCGCTATCTCATGGTGCAATTTAGACAGTTGACAAATTTACTGCCTCTGAGAGGATGTGTCACAGAGCAGCTCAAACAGATTTGTTTCTGTAGGCCCGAACAAGGGAAGTAGCGCAGTGCAAGCACAGCGAACCATCAATGAACTGTGGGAAGTGTTAACGAATGCATGGAGCAACTCTGGTCCCAAGCATTTCGTTACAGCAGATTCTATCTTACAATAAGGAAGGTTAAGAGCGGTCTTCTGATTTCACCACAATAATTTAAGTTAGTACAAGAGAATACTCGCACCACTGTTTATAAGCGGGAAGGGAAACTCGAGGCAAGTATTGTGGCAGCCCGGCAGCAGTAATCCAAGCATTCAAAAACAATTGAGAGAAGTTGAAGCTGGACAAGCGGACACGACAATAACTGACGGAACACTAACAAAGTTGCTTCTTCGATGTGTCGTCATCGATCCTTCTGTGTAACGTGTAACGAAAATGACTCATTTATATATGGACCACATCGACATATGGTAAGCGGAACGGATTCTTTTCGACAAACCTAGGCAGTATGCTCAACGATTAGCCCGCTGAGGAGGTCTACAACAGTTTCCGAAGCGAAGTTGCACCGTAAGGAGAATACACAGAACGCTTGGCGGTCATTCGTGGGACTTATGCACCACACCTTTCTGGAACCAAGTGAACCCATTCACCATACGCAGCTCTCCGTACACATGGTTTCAACAGCGCAAGCTGCGTGTGAGTTGGCCTGTGGAAGTCGAAATATTTATAAATTTGAAGGGCATCTTGCCATTTTCCATTGCGCAGTAGAACACTCGCAATCGATTCAAATATCCCGAAATTCTTCTTCATTTCGAAGGAACGAGAAAACAACTGTCCTATTTCTTGACGCTTAACATTTTTTACTTGAAATACCTAAAGTGAGTGAACTGAAGTTATTCACATAAACGATAGCCACACCTATGAATGTTCTTTTACTTGAATAGCAGCTATATCCTTTCCGCTGAATTCCAGGAGGAATGAAAACTGGCAGATACAATACCGATGAAACCTAGGTATATATGGGTGTGGTAAGAAGCGACTTCTTCGCTTTTCGCTGCGCGAAGCTTTTTCGTTGTGGAACCCACTCCACTCCGACGGTTACAAGGCTTCTGTCAACCAAAGGGTGAGAGCGTAGCTGGAAAAGCACACACTTTGTGTCTTATTGGGACTAAGCCTTTTGAAGAAGATAAAGAAAGAGGAGATGCTGTGATAGTGTGCACTTGTGAGAGCTCCCAGACATCACTACAAAACGCTGAACCGCCAAGGCTCACGGTTGACAGATGTCCTGAGACCCACTCCGACTGGATCTGGGTTCTCGTAACGAAAAGTTTCCCGCGTGAAAAGCGGAGAAGTCGCTTTCTGTCCTAGTGAAACACACCTGGTATAGATAAACGCAATCTATTCTCGCGCTCACGCTGATACAAGAAATACAGTCAAAACAAAGCACTAGACTATATGGCGCACGCGATCGCTAAGCGTTAAACAGGAAATAGACGACTTCGAATTCACTACAACTATAAAACTTGTCGTGGGCATCGCACGCAAGATGGGAGATAAGTGAATATTAGACGAGCTCATTTGGTAAACGAGGAAGCAGTTTTGAGACAATTTTGGACGCAAGTGTAGTTTGAGGGGGTATCGCGACACATTGGTTTTTCCCGGCTGCAGTAATCATATTTTTGAAGAGGGAGGAACCAGTTTGTTTTAGCAGTAAGGAATACTTGAGTAGAAAAATAAAAATTGTTCGCTTGTTCGAACACTTAAGTTAAACATAGTCGCAATACTGAGTCCAAACCGCTACACCATCAGGATCCCAAAAAGGTCCGACTTTCTGCTAAACCGGTTCTATTCTTAAATTGTTCAGCACCTCGATCACGGATATGAAAACCGATTTTGGCGTCGGTGTCATTTGGTATCAAGTTCGCGCAGGAACGGCGGCAAATCCTGCAAATGTGCCAAACAGCGACGACGCCATGAAAGAATGTCATCTTTGTTATCAGGAGACAACATGACCATCGCTCACATGAGAGCACTTTGTGAACAATCTGTGCGCACGACACCTTCAAATGCATCAGGCTAACAAATGTAAGGCTGGTGTCAGAGTCCGCGATCCGTCGCAGGTTTCGCTGATTTCAGCGATTTTCGCGATTTGCGCGAAACCTGCGATGGATCACAGGAGTTGGAAGTGCCCGATGATACTGCGAGGTGTTGTTTAATCCTGCTGCGAATTTGCTTGGCAGTAAAGATTGAAAGACGAATGTTTGTGGTTCTACTTGTTTCATGTTCAATGTCTATCAGTTTTCATTGAAATGCTCATGATTCGGATCACAAAAATTGCAAGTGCCCTATTTGAACAATTGAAATACTGAATATCAAACAAGTGGAATCATGAGGGCAGTCGTCATTCAGCCATCACTATCAAGCAAAAGTGGCGGCGGCATTGGAGACACCTGCAAGTCTCGAGGTGTGGTTCACTAGGACAGAAAGCGACTTTTTCGCGTTTCGCAGCGCGAAACATTTTTCGCTGCGGGAACCTCAGGTCCACTGATGATCAGCGGTGGACCTGAGGTTCCCGCAGCGAAAATGTTTCGCGCTGCGAAACGCGAAAAAGTCGCTTTCTGTCCTAGTGAACCACACCCCAGTATTGATGGGGCACTTGTGGTTACCGTGACCCGTCGCGCAAATCGCGAAAATCGCACAAATCGCGCAAATCGCGAGAATCGCTGAATCAGCGAAACCTGCGACGAATCGCGGATTCTGACACCAGCCTATGCACATGATCAGAGCGTCAACTAACCCTTTACCATGCAGTCTCAGGAAAAATATTTTTCAAGTTTGTGCACTCGTTCTAATGTCATGAAGCCTGGATTTTCCTCAAAACTATTGAAAGCAGAAAAAATCACCTGTGACAATGCAAACGGTGGAGGTGCCACGACGGATAGGGACATCGACGCTGGGTCGCAGTCACTGTTCTTGCGCTTTCGTGCGCGATCCTCGCGCATCTGGCCGTATCTAATCCCGGTAGATACGGTAGAGTGGTCACCTGAAAATGCTATGTGTGTAAAAGCATCACAAGATACGTTTACCACCAACGAACGTACAACTCAACAAAAACAATAAGAACAGAGATTGACGTTGCTGCTTTTAGTCGCTCGCATTTCGCGCAGAAAGCATTGGATGACTGAATCGGGTTCATACTCCCCAGCGAAAATAGTGAGACGGTAGGCAAACCGTGCGACTGGGTCAGGATGTTTGCATTAGCGCGAAGAAGGTGAAAATGCGGCGAACAGTTGCAAGCTTTAGTCATGGAATTGATGATGAACGAAGAGATACCAACGAAAAGCGGAGCTTTAACACTCAAATAGGCAGACTGATCGGATGAGACGGGGTGGTAGGGCTTTCATTGAGCTGGAAGATGATAGGGGAGTGATGCGACTCACAACAGCGGATCATTTTTTCCGTGTTTTCACAATGATGAATAAGAGATAAGATAGGCCAAGCTATGTAATGATTTCATTGC